CGCAATTAATCAAAAATCGCCACGAGGAAGTTGAGGAGAATTCTTTTAAGAACAACATATATGAATTTCATGGCAAAAAACCAAAAAACCGCTTGCAGAAAAGCTCTGAAGTAACCCCATATTTTTGTTTACAAATTTCATGTGATGAAGCGTTTTACGCATTCTGATTGGCTTAGGGCAAAAATGTAAACAAAAGCGCTGATTGGTCGAGAACGAAATTCCCCCTTGTTATTGCCTCCACTTCCACGTGTGATTCTTCGGTAGAAGTTACAGTTTTACAGCTAGTTCCTTCTCCTTTTTCTTCTTTTCTCTGTTATCTACAGATCTTCTCTTCGTCACAAAATCTCTTCCAGCATTTCATATGATGGTTCCATTCTATTAAAGTTAATGGTGTGACAGGGTTCTTCTCCATGTATGAATTGACAGATCCGTCATCGATGTTCTCGTACCGATTTCTTAGCTATATCAGCTTGTTGACATTTAAGTTTGGCCCATTTTGAACTACACTCAAGAAATTTCTTAAGCCTTTGGCGTGTAACTTTGCAAAGTTGCTCTGTAACGCCATCAAAATGCATAAAACATGAGGATATTCGAGTTTTATAAATATCTTCAGCCATGTTTATTTGCATAACTGAGCGTGTTTCCACTTCGAAGCATGTGCGTTGGTTATGCGCGTGCGCAGTGCGAGTTTGGGTGAGTTGCGCATGCGTATTTGCTATCAAAACAATGGCGGGTCGAATATTTCGAAGCGCGAAAATATCAAACTTTGGAGGGATTTTTCTCCCAAATGTGCACCTGTTTCGCTTGGGGAGCAACGGATTCTGATAAAGTAAGTTTTTATCTATTTATTCATGTGAAAATTACGTAGTTACACGAGGGGTGCAACGGAATCCGTTTTCTAAGCATCTTTTGGATGCTCATCCTACGGCCTATATATTTATATTGCTATATTTTTACTATATTAAACTACAAATTTACAGGGAATGAAAAAATTATTCACTATTTTGTCTTTTTACTAACCCACCGAACCGCATATTATGGTGTTGGAAGTTCCAGACGAAAATTTCAACATCAACAAAGCATCAACCATTTATTGACATTATACAGTTCCGTAAAGATGTAAAGGTATATGACGAACAAACAACAATCCAACTATTTATCACTTAAATTCTTATAAACGATAAAATTTAGTGGAGAGTATGATTCTTTAACTTTCAAACTACAAAGGTACAAGTGTATTTTGGCATTACCGTGGCAAGTCCAATTTAATATCTGGCATTTAATAGAACTTCATACTGCTGTTTGCAAAGTCGAATAAAATCCACTGGAGTTTGTCAGGTAGGATACTGATCGTCCTCTGGTAGTAGTCAGAGTAGAATATATAAAAAATCGTTGGACATTGGCCAGCCAGAATATACAATAGAATACAATTCCCCATAACCCTGGTATTTGCAGACCTCTGTTGGGGCACATTGTACCTTTAAGCCATTAAGTGGCAAGACTCACCCTTAATGAGTAAAATTGCCTGGCAATAGAGTGAAATAATAAAGTTGGGTGCATTGCCTTGTCAAGGGGTTAACAGATAGATTTGTTTACCCATCAACTAGCAAGGCTCTCCCTTTGACAAGTAAAATCATCTGGCGTAAGGGACCGGTCATTATTTATGGCAGGGGTGGGGGCCGAAGTGAAAATGGTGGGGTAACTGAAAAATAATACTTGCTTTAGGTGGGGTCGCCAAAAAATCCTTGCATGCAGAGGTGGGGTAAAAAAATAACCATACTTTAATTACACACAATACAATATATACTACCAACAGAGTTAATATGTGATTATTCTAATTTTTTAATAAAATATTGCTTTCCAAAATGTTGACAGAAACATCCCTCTCAATTACCCACCTGTAAGGGGTCATTTTATTTATTTACACACAAAATCTCCAAAGACTCCAATTATCAGACAAAATCTATACTGCCTATATATACAGTAGGAGCGGTTTATATGGTACGTATACAACTGCAAGCCAACCCTAGTTAGACTGTTTCAAAATAAAATTGCATTTTAATTAATAAAGAAATGCAAGAATGTGAAAGAAACCAAATTGTATACAGTGGAACTTTAAAGTGGGAAAGAGATAGGGTGGTGAGATACGGTTAGTGTTCTAAAATCTTGAAATATATGCTGTACAGGTTTTATATCAGTGGTTAATATATGTTTATGGGACTAGCATTGCACTATCTCGTGAAAAGGGAATATAGCATTGAATACAAACTATGAAAACCCAATCAAATTTCAGTTTAACAGTATGTAAAAATTAAACATAAACTAGCTAAGTATCCCAATATTAAATGGCCAACTGCCAAGATTTTAGTATTCATTGATTCAAACCCCCATGTCTCCCATAACATGCAAATTACAGTGCAGTTGCTTGAGTCAGAGTGCATGCCAGTCTTAATATGAGTGAGCAATATAACTCTCATCTGAATTTCCAGTTCAGAAATGTTAGAATCCTTTAATTCTATTGGCATTTCCCTATGAGCCCACCCCGGTTAAGGCTTAATTACTGTATAACATAAATTATTATTTTATATTATGAATTTGCATTTCCATTGAAAGGAAACATACTACACAAATGACGTCTTATTTTCAGCAGACAAATTTTAAGCCTCCAGATAACTATAATTCTTTATATAGTACCTTGCAATTGTAGAGGTAACCCATAATAATGCATGACTGTTAGTGTGCTTTAATTACTCCACAAGAAATAAGGGGCAAGGGATATCAGTAAAATCAATCAATCCCATTCCCTTTTAATTATAATGGCCACTGTGATCAAAGCACCCTATAATTATTATCTGCTCTCTAACAGCAGATGATCTTATACTCATCAAGGGCAATTTTGGACCTTGATGAGTAATACGCATACAAAATACTAAACTATTTCATTACATATTTTAAGTCTGGACCTTTGACGTTGCAACAAAATAGGTTTGGGTGCGGTAAAAATTTTTTCCAGCATTCCAGCGGTGGGGTAGCTAGAAATTTTGTTTCGAAAATGTGGGGTGATGATTTTTTCGGCTGCATTATACTTTCTCTTCGGCCCCCACCCTGCCATAAATAATGACCGGTCCCTAAAACAGAGTGAAAGAATAAAGTTGGGTGCATTGCCAGTCGTCGATGGGTTAATAGTTAACCTATTAAAGCCCAAGACTCTCCCCTTGACGAGTAAAATCGTCTGGTGTTAGACAGAGCAAATAATAAATTAGGATGTAATTGGGAGCATTGTAGTTTAATGGGTTAACAAGACACATGCCATGGGTAGATTTTGTGGTTAACCCATTATAGCACAAGACTCCCCCCTTGACAAATAAAAGTGTCTGGCATTAGGCAGAGTAAATTATAGTATTATACATAGAAATTATATACATATTACTTATATACATGCAGTGGTGTACACCACATACATTATACAGTTTATGTTCATTAAGTCTGTATCATATTTTACATTTACATACAGGCCAGTAGCATTAACAGGGCTTGTAATATTCATTGGAAGAAATGTTATAAAGTCATCTTGGGAGTGAATTTCAAATGATTTTTCCTTGGATCTTTCAACCTCATAAGAGTGATAATGCTCATTTAAACATATAGTGTCCATGATTTCAACCACAAAATAAGGCTTTGATGGACCACTACAAACAATGATTATCTTGTGGATAACTCCAAAGACTGGGAGCAGGTTATGAAAACCAGTCTGGACCACAGCACCAATTTTATACTTTGTTCCATATACAGAAATCCATGTAAACCTAAAAAAAACAATAAATTTTGGTTGCTATAATAACAATAATCCCCCTTCATGGGTTGAAATGCATTGTTTTCAAACCATTAAGTTATGTAAGGCTTCATTAAAGCATTGTTATTGGATCAAGGGGAAGGGGTTATTTGGCTAGGAAGTTTTGTCCTGCCTTTATTGCGACTGTGTGGTGAACCCATTAAAGTGCAAGTTAGACTCTCTCCTTGACGAGTACAATTGTCTGGCGTTAGACAGAGTAAAAAAATAAAATAAGGCACATTGCGGCTTAATGGTTTAACAACCCTTACGAAAAAAGTCTATAGGTAGCCTATAGGTTCCTATAGGAATTGTTCCAATTCCCTATAGAAGCCTTTAGGCACCTATAGAGCTCTATAGACTTATAGGCATCCCTAATTAGGTCACCTATAGAAAATGTTCCAATTGCCTATAAAAACCTATAGAAACCTATAGGTTGGCCTATAGACTTTTTTTGTTAGGGAAGACACATGGGTAGATTGTGTGGTGAACCCATTAAAGCACAAGACTCTCTCCTTGACGAGACAATCGTCTGGCATTAGACACAGTAAAAGAACAAAGCAGGGCGCATTTGTGTGTATTTTGGCTTGATGGGTTAAGTAGAGCAAAGTTAGTACATTTCCAGGCAATGGGTTAATTTAACTATTGGCATTATAGGTGTTTATACTGGCCAATTAAAGTTGACTAAATTAACATACACACTTACACAGTAATATCACAGTCCATAGTTACTTCAGGAACTTTCTTCTTTACCAGTTGAAAATAATTGGTTGTGCCAGCTTTGTGCAACTTTCCTGTTGAAATAGAATGGTACCGTATACTGTATATACTGTAATAAAGTATCTAGCAGACAACCACTACAGTGTTGACTGCACACAATAGTCAGTACTGTATTTTTTTAAACAAACTTACCTGGTCCACGTTCTGTTGGCTTACAAATGTTGAATTTGGTGTAACATTGTTTGTTTTGATGTCTTGTTGCCAATGTGAGAGCGAGGTTTTTAAAATTTCCAAGACCTGCAGCTAACTTCTTAAAATATTGATGTTTGGCCTCAAAGCGCATACACCAACTTGTCATCATTGGTCCCAATCTAAAATGTATGTATGTAGGATTGTTAGCTAATAATGGATTATGTAAATTAAACTGATGAGCTTCTGCAGACAAACAGAGTATGTTCTGATAAGTTTCTGCTAATGAGGCATGAATCCTGATAAGTTTAAATGCAATGTTACCAAAATATGCACAATACCACAAGTTAAAACCACTAGCATAATCACAGAACATGTAGATCAACAAACAGATGATTACAGTACAATACAATACAATACAATAATTTATTGAACTCTCCCCAACGGGGCTTTTCGGAGCCAATTAACAATTACAAAAAATTATAAGATATACTAACATGAAATTCTAACTAACTAATTACTGGTATGGATGTAAAAATTGTTAAAGGCCAAATGCTACTATGAATGATTTCCTAAAAGATATTTACGTAATTTATGTTTAAAAATGTTAACTGATGAACTACATTTAATGTTCTCTGGAAGATTATGATTAGTTTGGGTTCATAAATATTGAAGAAAAATATGGTACAATAATACTGTTAATATTCTACCTGATCATTGTACGAGGGTAATGAATTAGATAGTGCATCTTAGGTATTATTGAGCAATTCGGGTATAGCCTTTTAAATTCTGTATGGTGTTCTTCAATTAACACAGCCAAATAGGAAGCTTGGTTATAGCTTGTAACAGGTGAAAAGATCATGTCTGCTATATCCAACATTTTCAAAAACAATTGCCAATGCTCATCAACCTCGGGCACTTTTGCTCCAATAATAAGAGGTAAAAACCTTGCTAGACACCACATCTGAGCAGCTAAAAGAACAGAAAGAGAAATCACATCTGCTGTAAAACAAAGTAAATTGTTCAAGGGCCAAACCTTTGCAGTAGTAATTGCTACACCACATAAAAGTTTGGTCCCTGACGATCAAATTTTAACCATTAGAAAGAGAGAGTCATCTTACAAGTAAAATCAACTGGCATTAGACAGGGCAAACAAATAAACTAGGGCAATGGTAAACTTACCACGCTGATGTAGTGTGTTGCTGGCTGAATTCATAGTCAACTCTGAGATTGGTGATGGCTTATCTGCATCGTTTTGGTACCCAAATCAAAACTGAGTAAACCAGAATTTAGGTGGTTAAGGGTAAAATATCTCCTTTCATGTATCAGGTACTTCAGCAGCTCTTTGCATTCATACTGAAGACACCCTTCTAATACGTCATGCATAGCAACCCCAGGCAAACCACCAACGACATGAAAATATCTGGAATGGCACAAGGCTGATGCAAAATTGACACCATATGAAGATGACAGTCCAGGGTCTTCTTCAATCTCTGCACACTGGTTGTCATGCCCTTCAGATGTTCTTAACTGAAAGTTTCCTTCACGAAACTGGAAAATAATGAAATCTTGTTATCTTATATACATCCATACATACATTACATAGATACATACATACAATGCATACAATGCATACATACATACATACATACATACATACATACATACACACACACACACACA